GCCACAAGTCGATGAAAACAATGGCAAAATTGAACGAATTGGGCTTTGATCTGCTTCCCCACCCCCCATACTCGCCAGATTTAGCCCCCAGTGACTACTGGCTCTTTGCTGATCTTAAAAAAATGCTCCAGGGAAAAAGATTTGGCTCAAATAAGGAGGTCATCGCTGAAACTGAAACTTATTTTGAAGCGAAAGATAAATTTTTTTATAAACATGGTATTGAAATGTATCACCCTAAAAGGTGATTATGTTGATGAATAAAAAAAAATTTTGCAAAAAAAATGTTGTTTTCATTGTTAGTCTCGGGACTTATTGATCCATGTGTTATATATATACATGTATATATACAGGTACTTATACGTTAATATATATTGTGCTTTATCTATATAATATATATTATTCATATACATATTTATGGATAAATGTACATATGTATGTATGTATATATACATATAAGATGTATATACATATGTATGTGGAAGTTACTTATATTATTATTATTTATTACAGCTTATTACCAATGAAAATAAGCTGGGCATTAATGTATCACGTTTTGAAAGGACCACAAATCATGATGACATTCAAAGGTCGTAAATCAAATAATACTTATACTGATAATAATAGTGCAACAAATTATGAAGATATACATGTACATTAAAGTTGTACGAGACAGGATAAATATATTATAAATTTTTACTACATAAATTTTATATATGCTTGTGAAATATATTTTTTTGTTATCTCTTATACATGCATCTTACATGTAAGTATTACAAAATTTTTATTACATAAAATAAAAAATTATGTAACAATTTATAGTAAGTCATAAAAATAATTCAATCCTTGGCCTAATTCCCAAATCGAAATTCCTGTACCCAATTCATTAGCAAGTTCTAATCGAGCCTTAATTGAATATAACGTAGGGTAGAAAATATAGCCATTACCTGTAGCTAATCTAAAATAAATGCATTAATTTGTAAACATAATATTAGAAAAAAAACAAGTTTTTTTATATTTTTCATATCATATTCAATTACAAATAAGATAATAGAAAGAAAAAGAGAAAGAAAAAAGGATAAATAAGTGAAAAAAAGAAGGCAGGGAAAAAGAGAATGAAAAGAGATTAAAAAAAAAATAGTAAAAAAGATATAAAAGATACAAAAGATACGAAAGGAATAGATAAGAAAAGAAAAAGGAAAGCAAGTAGGAAAGATTGAGAGACAGAGAATCAAGACAAAGAAACTAAAAATAAGAACAAATAGGAAGAAGAAAAAAGAGAGGACAAAAGCACAGGTATAAATAAAGGAAAAGAGTTGAGAGACAGAAAGAACGAAAAAGAGAAATAGAAAGAACAGATAGGTTACAATAATAAAATATTACTTCGATTCAAAGAAATGCTCTTTGCTGTTGTTATCCCATTGAATTTTTCCTTTAAATGACTTTAATATATCCAAATATTCAGAGGCGAGAATTGCCTTGCCACCCTCTGGTGTATAATTGTAACCATAGAAATTAATACCTAATAAAATTTGAGATCGTCTAAGATTGTTTTTCTCTGGAGCTAAAAATTCAACACATTGTCTGGTCCAATCGAGAGGACTATTTGGACCTGGCCTTTGAATACTCGAATAATCATAGGTCATAAGCGAAAAGGCGTTTACATATGATGCTAATTCATCAAACTCTTGCTTTGAAAATAATTCAACTTGTGCACTAAAAGAAGATGCGAATAAGAATAAAAAAGATTAAATTTATGTAATATATATTATATGCATTTCGAAAAGTATCAAGTACCCTCTGGATGGTGGTATTGCTAATATAATATCTAAATTATGTTTCTTTAACTTTTGTGCAATGAATTTGACTACAGATGTAACAATTGGTAGATTTGCACCTGCAAATATAAATTGATTCCATATTTCTAAGACATATCCGTCGAAGTGAAAAGTCTGTAAATACAAAATGTTTATGTATACATATTCTAATGGATAGAGAATATATAACAATATATATGAATGTGGGCTAAAAAGTTTTGTCCCCTGTGTTATTTTAGTTCGAATATCATCTCCGTTTAAAATCAGCAGATTGTAATTTAAAATAATCTTTCAATCTCAATTTGGCATGAATCATTTTTATTTTGTTTATTTTTAACTCAATGAGTTAAAATCATCACATCTGTGTATAAAAAAACAGTTGTATCGTTGCAGGGATAAAAGAGATATATTAAATTTTATGATTTTGACAATTTTGTATTGTACGAATAAATTGATCGGTTTTTACATTAAATTATTGCTTTATGAATCTATATCATTTATATATTGTATAGATATATGATTCTGCTTCGTATTTAATAAAATTTTTAGTGTGTGTGTGTGTGTGTGTGTGTGTGTGCGCGCGCGCGCGCGCGTGTGTGTGTGTGTGTGTGTGTGTGTGAGATATTAAAAGTAAATCTTAATATCTGTAATTATAATTTTTATATGATATATTAAAAGTAAAAAGAGATGTGATGACCTAAAAGTACGCACTTGATCCAGCCCGTGAAAAATAGTGATGCTATAGATGACGATGACAATGATGATACAGCTTACATATTTTGTATATAGATTTTAAATCTTAATGAAAGTAGATCTAGTGCTGATCCAAAGCTGCTAATTCTACTAAGCCTATATCGATTGCGCTAAGGTCGATTGTCGATTGGAAACTTACTTACGTGAATTGCACGTAAAAAATACTTCAAGTATTCATGAAGATTCATATTCAATCAAAAATAAATGCTTTTTTTATCTTAATTACGAAATAGGAATTAAAGGCTTATAACGATTGAAGCTGGGCCTTTAATGCTTAAATAGTTCAATGTGAATTTGTATATACTCCTAGATAACCAAATTTGAATTTAAGAGACAGATTTTGAACAGTCTGCTATCAATTTCTAATTGCAGAAAAGCCATAAATTGTACACAAAGTTTGTACTATCAGACAATGTCAACAAACGACTGTCAAAAATATTTATTACAAAGCCTGATAACATGCTATGCCAGCAAATTGGTGACAGAGAAATCGAACAGAGTTTATTAACATAACTTGACGGCAGATTGACAGCAAAAACCGAGCAAGATCTGCCATTTTTATTTATGGTTTTGACACGAGATAGACTTGCTTCTCGTAAGAAGAAAAGATCCAGGGGGTCTATTCTTCGCATGTTACGAGTGTGCACAGTTCAAATGATGAAAATCCGTAAAATTCCAATATGGTATTCTTGAACATTAATAAATAGTAATTGAACCGTATACGTTTTCGGTTGCGTTAATTTACGTTTGGTAACGTCAAAAAATATATGTACTTTCTATAAATATCATTCAGAAATACGATGTACAAAAAGATAGTACTTCATATTTTTATATTAATTGATAGAACTTAAAGAAAAAATGTATGTGTTGAAATGTAATATACATTTGACTATATTCATAGTAAAGGAAAACGAAACAATGAGTTGCGCGTAGAATAAGTCACCTCTCGTGTAGCACATGAATATCACGTGATCGACATGAGTTGCCGAAACGGTCGACTAAGCGTATGTAAGTTGGTAGTCGTAAGAGAGTCGTCGCCGACTGCACACGTAGCGCACAGTAATCGATAGGTTAAGTGATAGAGTTATTGTATTAAAAGTATATTAAGTGAAATAATCTGTGTCAAACCTCATTTTTTCCGAACATGGTAGCAGAGCGTGGTTTCGATGTCGACGAACCGCATACAAAATCATAGCGATCCGAACACGTGGACACAAATCGACTGAGAGTGAAGCTAATTTTTCAAAAATATATAAATGAGCGAGTCTGAACAAGAAGATGATAAAACCAATGAAGAAATAAAGAAAGCCAAGATACTGAGAAGGTTTGCGGAAGTTACGAAAAAGTTTTTGAGTGTATTAAATTTCGTGTATGCTGAAAAAGGACAACTAGAAGAAAAACAAGACAAAATGGAGAAAAAGGAGTTTTTGATACCGGTGTTTGATGGAGAGGACTATGCTATGTGGAAAAAACGGATAACAATGTTTATGAAAATGAAAAAATGTGATACAGTGCTAACGAGAGAAAAGGCCGCTACAGATGAACCCACATGGGATGAATATGATTTAAAAGCTATAAATATAATATATAGCTCCATTTCAAATAAGCAGTTGGAGTTTGTATGCGAAGAAACGACAGCTTATGGAATAATGAGGAAATTAGACTGCTTGTATTTGAAAGAATCCACAGCGTTACAAATTGTGTGCAGAAACAGACTGGAAAAAATGAGACTGAATAAGTATAGTGAAACGGCGTCATTTTTCAATGATTTTGAAAAATCCGTAAATGAGTTGAAAGCCGCAGGTGCTCAAATAAGTGAGAAAGAAAAGCTAAATTATATGCTTAACACATTGCCAGAATCATATAGTTATATTGGCGATTTAATTGATACGTTAAAGGTTGAAGATCAGACAGCAGACTATGTAAAAAGTAAGATAAAAATGGCTGAAATGAAGAATCAAAACGATCATCTAGAAAGAAGATCGAATGCTTTTGTAACAGTGAAAGGAAATTGTTATAAATGCGGCAAAACCGGGCATTTCGCAAGAGAGTGCCAAAATGGCAGCCAAACAGCACAAAGCGGTGGAACATGGCGAGGCTCAACACGTGGTCGCAGCAACAGAAGAGGCATAAGAGGCAACTTCACCAGAGGGCGCGGGAACTACCGCCAGCAGCCTGAGACCAGCGCTACACACGGGCAGGACAGCTCAGGAACCAGCGCCTGGATAGCAACGGCACATACGAAGTACAGCAGAGAGACATATAGGACACGTGATTCTGAAATAGAGTGGTTACTCGACAGCGGATGTACTGATCACATCATGAACGATGATAGGTATTTTGAGAAATCGATTACACTTGAAAAACCAGTTAACATTTATTTGGGCGACAATAGACATATTAAGGCAACTAAAATCGGAAATGTAGTAAGTTATTTTAATGCTTTTGGAACAAGTAATAAAGTAAATATAAGTAATGTATTTTATGCTAAAGAAATGAATGCAAATTTGATAAGTTTTGGAAAATTAATAGATAAGAATACTATTGTTGCTAAAGAAGACACTGTAAAAATAATTGACAAAAAAGGGAAAATTATTGCTGTAGCTTACAAAGAAAATCAAGTACTTAAAATGAAAAGTAAAGTAGAATGTAATAAAACTTGGGTACATAATGCCGAGCGAAATAATAACAATAATAATATAACTCAAAAGGAAAGATGGCATAGAATCTTAGGTCATGTAAACTTTAGCTATTTAAATATATTATGTTCACAACAATTGCTAGAGGGCATACCGGATAAACTTGAAACCGGATTTATGAAGTGTAAAACTTGTATAGAAAATAAAATGCATAATTTACCGTTTCAAAATAATAGATTAAAGGCAAACGATATTTTAGAAATTATACATACGGATGTATGCGGTAGCTTTAAAACCGCTGGTCCAAACGGTGAAAGATATTTCGTTTCTTTTATTGACGATTATAGTAAGATAGCTAAAGTTTACTGTATAAAGTCCAAGGACGAAGTATTTGACTGTATGGTAAATTATATAAATGAAGTAGAAAATTTAACTGAAAAGCGAGTAAAGAAAATAAGATGTGATAATGGTAAAGAATACTTGAATAATCGTTTTTACAAATATGCAAAAAATAAAGGTATTTTTATAAATAATTGTCCAGTGTACGTGCATGAATTAAACGGTACTGCGGAACGGTTTAATAGGACAATAATGGATATGGCGCGCTGCTTACTAGATGAGGCACAAGTACACAAAAAATATTGGCCAGAAATAATTTGTGCTGCGACTTATTTAAAAAATCGCTCTTTAACAAACACGATTGAAAAGAAAACGCCGTATGAAATATTTTTTAGGAAAAGACCGAACGTTAGACATTTAAAATTGTACGGGAGTAAAGTCTTTGTTAGAAAACCAGAACAAAAAAGATTATCTAAATGGGATAAGAAAGCAGATATGGGAATTCTGTTAGGCTATAGTGATGTTGGCTATAGAGTACTTATAAATAACCGAATAATAGTTACGCGACACGTTGATATTGTTGAGAAAAACATAAAGTGTATTAACCTAAATGAAGGTGAACCCGATTATTTAGTTCCTTCTGTTTCGACTCTCGAGTCAAGTAGAGGAGTAGATAGTGATCACGAGAACAATTTAAATGATAACGTTTTTGAAAGTGCGGACGAGGACGATGAAGTGAAAACTGATAAAGAAAATGTAAGTTTAAAAACTCCTCGCAGATCTACACGTGATAGGAGAAGTCCAATAAGATATCCTGAAAATAGTTCGAATAATATTTTTGTAAATTATTGTCGGGTAGACACGCCTTATACATTTGAGGAGGCGATAAATAGTGATGACAGTAAAAATTGGGAAATAGCCATGAATCAAGAAATAGATTGTATAAATAGGAATGAAACTTGGAAATTAGTAAATAAAGTAAAAGAAAAAAAGATTTTAGACGTTAAATGGGTATATACAAGAAAATTAGATGATAGATATAAAGCTAGGCTAGTTGTAAGGGGCTTCCAACAAACTGATGTGGTTGATGACATATACGCTCCAGTAGCAAAAAATCAAACGTTAAAAATTTTACTTTCTTACTGTTGTAAAAATAGTTTAAAAATTGAACAAATGGATGTAGAAACTGCATTTTTAAACGGAAAAGTAAAAACGGAGGTATATGTCCATCAACCAAAAGGTTACGAAGACGGAACGAATAGAGTATACAAATTGTCAAAAGCGTTGTATGGATTGAGAGAAAGTCCTAGAGACTGGTACGAGTGTTTTGATGAGTGCATAACAAAAGTCGGATTTAAAAGAAGTAATGCAGATCTCTGTTTATATAAAAAAGGAAATGAGAAT